CTTTGTTACTTGAGTAAGTATGTTCTTAGGGGTGTCTCTTCACCTAATGCCCTAAAACCAATTGGTTTGGGAGTCATTGACAAAAAGCTCGTTACATGGGTAACTTAGAAAGCCTAAGAAAATTCAACCTATAAAAATAATAGTAATAATAATAATAATAATAAGTGCTAAGGTGTGAAAGTCTAAACTTGATACTTTTTACTATAAATTTCCACACACACACTAAGTGCTCATGGGTTAAATCTTTTAACAAGTGGTGTGAAAAATAAGATGGAGTATTTTACTTTAAGTGAGCATATGAAAACTTTTGAATATTTGAGACTTTGCCTCTAATTGAACTTTAATTCCTAAATTTTCTTTGCATACATATCATATAGTTGCATTTTTGCATTGGGATTTTGTGGGTAGATCCACTGCAAACCCTCACGAGACACAACTCGTCCACTAGGGTGACCTAGGGGTTTAAAGGCTTGTTGCACATGCTAAGTGCAATCGTGATTCTTACGAAAGTGAGTTAGATTTTATTTTTATTTCTTTTGTTTTTTTATTTTACTCAAGGATGAGTAAAACTTAAGTTTGAGGGAATTTGATGAGTTAAATTTATATACATATTAATAGGGAATTTTTACTTTGATTTTATTGAAATTTGGATGAGTTTTATAGGATTTTGTTTGATTTTACATGGTTTTCATTTTTTTGTGTAGGAAAGGATTTAATTGGAAGAAATCCTACTCTTTAGAAGTAAATTGAAGAGATCAGAGACTTGAGGATCAACTTGTGCAGAATCCAAAAGTCAGGAACCAAATCTGCTATTTTACCATTGAAGAAATTGCAAAAGAAGACCAGAAACTCGACACGGGTGTAGTGTCGACACATGATCGGTGTGTCGACACCATGCACTAAAAGTCCAAAATCAGATTCTGTTTCCTATTTTGTGTCAACACGTAATTCGAAATATCAGCACCACGTGATCAGCATCTAAAATTCAGTTTCCTATTTCTATTCTAAGTCCGACTTTTATTTCAATTAGGGTTTCTAAAATCCTATAAATACCCATCCAAATTCATAATGAGGAGAGTTTTTGAGAGGCTGGTAGCAACCTTCTTTTAGGCATTCTTGAAGATCAAGAGAAATGATTCAACAATAGAAGATCAAGGAGTTTGAGTTCCTCAAATTGGGTTTTGTTTTTCCTTGAGTTTTTATCTATTGTTTGATATTTGAATGTTCATAATTTTGATTTCATATTTTATTATTTTTATTATGAACTGATTTATTCTACTAGGGTTACGATGTAGCCTAATCAATTTAATATGGATTTTGTGATTTTATTCTTTCAATTAAAGTTATTTGCGTGAGGAGTTTATATTATTGAACTTAATGCATTGGAAGCCTGATCATCTTTCAATTGATTTAGTGATTTATGCATGAACTTGAAAAAAATTGTGTAGATTAGTCCAATAATAATATAAACCGTGTGCTAGACTATGAGACCGAGAGGTAATTAGCTCACATGTGGTAGTGGAGGAAGAGAAGAGAGTTAGTAGCTCCTCCTTCTTAAGTTAGAGGTTTCCATAGAATCTAATGCTCATTAGTTTGTTTAAAATTACATAGAGATATGATTAATTTAACAAACCAATGAAGGATTAACTTGACTTAAAAAGCTAGTTAATTAATTTAGGAAAATCTGCCATCACATGCAATAACTTGATGCACTAAAATCACCTTAGCAAGTGTACTAGTCGCTCCAAGTAATATAATGATGAGAAGAGTGTCGAACCCACAAAGATTGTGTCTAACTAAGTACCAAAATAATTAATTCAAATTTATTTGAACAACCAAATGGGAAGAAAGTTTAACTAAAAAAATAATAAAAGGAAAATAAAATTAAATTAAACCTAACCAAGATATGAGATACTAAGGCATTGATTTCACCATAATCAATCAATATAAATTCTAGATTACTAAATTGTTGAGTGTTATTGCATGTGATGGCGGATTTCCCTAAATCAATTAACTAGCTTTCTCAAGTCAAGTTAATCTTTCACTGGTTTGTTAAATTAATTATATCTCTATGTAATTTTAAATAAACTAATGAGCATTAGATTCTATGGAAACCTCTAGCTTAAGAAGGAGGAGCTACTAACTCTCTTCTCTTCCTCCACTACCACATGTGAGCTAATTACCTCTCGGTCTCATAGTCTAGCACACGGTTTATATTATTATTAGTCTAATCTACACAATTCTTTCTCAAGTTCATGCATAAATCACTAAATCAATTGAAAGATGATCAGGCTTCCAGTGCATTAAGTTCAATAATATAAACTCCTCATGCGAATAACTTTAATTGAAAGAATAAAATCACAAAATCCATATTAAATTGATTAGGCTACATCGTAGCTTTAGTAGAATAAATCAGTTCATAATAAAAATAATAAAATATGAAATCAAAATTATGAACATTCAAATATCAAACAATAAATAAAAACTCAAGGAAAAACAAAACCCAATTTGAAGAACTCGAACTCCTTGATCTTCTATTGTTGAATCCTTTCTCTTGATCTTCAAAAATACCCAAAAGAGGGCTGCCACAAGCCTCCCGAAGCTCTCCTCATTCTGAATTTGGATGGGTATTTATAGGATTTTAGAAACCCTAATTGAAATAGAAGTAGGACTTGGAATAGAACTAGGAAACTGAATTTTAGATGCTGATTGCGTGGTGCTGACACTTCGGATTATGTGTTGACACAAAATAGGAAACAGAATCTGATTCTGGACTTTTAGCGCATGGTGTCGACACCCCGATCATGTATGATAGTACACCCGTGTCGAGTTTCTGGTCTTCTTTTGCAATTTCTTCAATGGTAAAATAGCAGATTTGGTTCCTGACTTTTGGATTCTGCACAAGTTGATCCTCAAGTCTCTGATCTCTTCAATTTACTTCTAAAAAGTAGGATTTCT